AATGAGAACACAGGGACACAGGGAGGGGAACATCATACACCGGGACCTGTCGGGGGTTGGGGTGCTAGGAGAGAGGTAGCAGGGGGTGGGGAATTGGGGAGGGATAACATTAGGAGAAATACCAAATGTAGATGATGGGGGGATGGAGGCAGCAAACCACCATGGCACGTGTATACCTATGTAACAAACCTGCATGTTCTGCACATGTACCCCAGAACTTAAAGAAAAATTGTTCAGTATTTCTTTTTTTCTTTTTTTTCTGAGATGGAGTCTTGCTCTGTCACCAGGCTGGAGTGCAGTGGTGCATTCTTGGCTTACTGCAACCTCCACCTTCTGAGTTCAAGTGATTCCCCTGCCTCAGCCTCCCAAGTAGCTGGGACTACAGGTGCGCACCACCACACCCCGTTAATTTTTTGTATTTTAGTAGATCGGGGTTTCACCATGTTGGCCAGACTGGTTTTGAACTCCTAACCTCATGAGCCACCATACCTGGCCAGAAAGTTGTTCAGTATTTCTAAAGGATATCTAGATGAACACATTTGTGATAATATCATGTAAGATGATTAACTCAGGGAGACTGCCTAGCTACACATTAAAAATCACATTAATAAACATAGTAACAAAAACTTCAGGCGTAGAGGCAAAAACAGACACACAGATAGGATCAGGAGAGTCTGGCAATGGCCCTAATAAATGTAGGAATTTAGAAAATGCTCAAATTGGCAATTACTAAATCAATGGAATCAATGCTATTGGCTGACCAGATAGCAAACAGAGCATGGATATATAATTTAGAAATATGGAGGCCGGGCACGGTGGCTCAAGCCTGTAATCCCAGCACTTTGGGAGGCCGAGGCGGGCGGATCACGAGGTCAAGAGATTGAGACCGTCCTGGCCAACATGGTGAAACCCCATCTCTACTAAAAATACAAAAAATTAGCTGGGCGTGGTGGCGCGTGCCTGTAATCCCAGCTACTCAGGAGGCTGAGGCAGGAGAATTGCTTGAACCTGGGAGGCGGAGGTTGCCGTGAGCTGAAATTGTGCCACTGCACTCCAGCCTGGAGCCTGGAAACAGAGTGAGACTCTGTCTCAGAAAAAAAAAAAAAAAAAAGGAAAGAAAGAAAGAAAGAAAAAAGAAATATGCAAGCAACCATCAGGACAAACAGAAGATTTGGTCGGGGAGAAGCTACCACTGCAGGGTAGGTCCTGGAGGTGGGCAGGAGTGAGGCAGCAGGTATCTGGTGACAAGCCTCTTGAAACTATTTAATGTTTAATAATGATGTAACTGTATGCATTATCCAGGGTTCTCCAGAGAAACAGAAACAGAACATATATAAGATGAAACAGAATATCTGTCTATCATCTGTCTGCCTGCCTATATCTAGAAAGACTGATAAACAATAATTGGCTTACATGATTATCGAGGCTAAGAAATCCCAGGATCTGCAGTCGGCAAGCTGGAGACTTAGGCGAACCCATGGTGTAAGTTACCTTCCGCAAGCTGGCAGGCTACACACCCAGAAGAGCTGATGTTTCAGTTTGCGTCTGAAGGTAGGAAAAGACCCATGTCCCAGGTCAAAGCAGTCAAGCAGGAGGAATTCTCCCTTGTGAAACGGTCAGCGTTTTTGTTCTATTTAGGCTTTCAAGTGATTGGATGAGGCCCACCTGCCTTAGGGAGAGCAATCTTCTTTATTCATTCCACCAGTCTGAATGTTAATCTCATCCAAAAACACCCTCACGGACATACTACTATGAGCTGAATTGTGTACCCCCCCCCCAAAATCCTAGCCCTCACCCCTGATGTCACTGCATAAGAGATAGGACATTTAGAAAGTAATTAAGGTTAAATAAGGTCATAAGAATGAGGTTGTAATCCAATAGGATTGGCAGCCTTATGAGAAAAGAGAGACTTCCATGTTCACACAGCAAGGAAAGGCCACGTGGGGGCACAGGAAGAAGGCAGCTATCTGCAAGCCTGGAAGAGATCCCTCACCAGGGGCTGGCTGACCTTGATCCTGGACTTTCCGGCCTCCAAAACAGTAGAGAAAATAAAATTCTTTTCTTTTTCTTTTTAAGCCACCCAGCCTATAGCATTTGTTATGGTGGCCTGAGCTAATATATACGTCTAGAATAATAATTGAGCAAATATCCTGGCATCCGATGCCTCATTCAAGTTGACACATAAAATAAACCATTACAATGTATTTCTTGAATACAAAATAAAATTAATTTAAAAATCCTTAAGCCATCTCCTTTATGTATGAGTCCCAGCTGGAGGGTAATAGATTAGTGTGAATTTCATGTACTTATCACACTCTTAAATTCTATATTCTCACATCCATATATTTCCCTTTAAAGATCAATGAAATGTTGGCATATTCAGAAAATTGCCTTTTTTTTCCCTCTATACTGTGGCCCATGTTGTCAATATTTCTATCTCTTTAGGATAGATTTCTAAAAGAAGTATTGATTCAAAGATGACTTGGCTATTTTTTAGGTCTCTTTGAAATTATTTTTCCAATGTACACTTTCCATCAGCAAAGCAGAAGACTGCTTACCTCTGGACAGCTTTTAATCATTAAAAGCTTTGTTCATTCGATTCGTAGTTACTTAGCTATTATCCATATGTTAATAAGGCTGAACACTTCTGTTCCGTGGCCATTTGTATTCCCACTTTGGCCAGCTGTTGGTTGACAGCCTTGGCATGTTTTCTACTGGACTCTAACCTTATTCTTCCATTCTTGGTGCTCGAAAGTTATCTGGGATTTGTTTTAATGGATGTGATAAGGCACACAGACACAGAAATGACTGTCTTAAAGGAGCTTTTTGTATTCATAGATCCCCAGAAACAGGAGGCACAGCTGCCACTCAGGGCCACTCAGCAAAGCACCAGGGAGGGTCAGGAGGCAGAAGGATTGCGGAAGAGGTGGGGCAGAAGGCTTTACTGTGGTTTCCATAGGAAAGTAGGGAAGAGCCAGGGTAAGCAAGTTTAGCTATGGCTAGTTGGAATAATTTCAGAGGCTTTGGGCAGGGGGACTGTGCCTAGGTGTCTGGTATCCTGGCTCTGGGGTGATGAGGGCAGGTGGATTTGGCCTGAGGGTGAGAGCTCCAGATAAGAGGTGGATGGGTGTGCACTCTGGATTGGCGGGTTTGCATCTGAAAGGCAGGCTCCCAAGGGAGTTGTTGACTGTATCTATGAATTAGCCAACCCTGAGAGAGGCAGTCTCTCCAGGGTCAACAGGGCTCCGGCTATCCTATCACAGCATCAGATACAGAAAATAACACATTTGGCTTATCTCTGTCTGATCTGTGCATGCTGAAGACAGTAAATCTTTTCGTTTTTTCATTTTTCACTGTGATGATGCCTGAGACTTTGGCCAGGGGCGTCTCATCCTGTGGGGTGATTTTCTTCCCACCCCCCCACCCCCCGCCGGACGTCGTGATTTCCCCGAGCCTGTCCTTGCTGTAGCCGTATCTTCCAACAGCGGATTTTAAAATGTTTTTAGTGCCACGTGCACCTCGTTGGGGGTTGTTCTGAGGATGAAATGGCAGGAGGCATGGCCAGAATTTGCTGTTCAATAAATGTCAGCTTCTGCCCTTATATTTGTTACAAATATTTTCCCCAGTATTTTTTCCTTGTAGCATTTTAATTTTAGCATATATAATTTTAAATCTTTAACCTTAAAAGGGCAATGGCATAATGATTGAGCTCACGAGTCTGGTAACCAGACACACTGGTGTTTTGAATCTGGGTATGTCATTTGCGGAAGAATCTGGAGACGTTATAGCGCCTCTCTGTGCCTCAGTTTCCTTCCCAGTGAGGTTCAAGCAGACACGTCCAGAGGGAGCTTGGAGAGACGAGTCTAAACACCCAGGGACAGGCCAGGGCTGGAGATGTGTGTTTAGGGGTTGCCTCTAAGATTTACTACAACGCTAGCTGGCCTGTTTTTCAGATTCTATAAAGAACAGAATGAAAAAGTTCTGGGATGTTACATACCCGTAACTTGACAAAGAGCTGCCTGTGAAAGCTACACAGAATGGGGGAAAGGGTGCGATCGTGATGCCACATGCTTTACAACACCACCACCTAGTGACAGACTCGCGAAAATCCCATCCGCTACGTCCCCTCCAGCTTAGGGACGGCAAAAGAGGCTAAACCATCTCCCTCTGACCAGAAAGCACGTACCCTCTTCTGTGTCTCCAGTAACTATCACTTTACCTCCTACTGGTTGGAGAGTCTTTTTTTCCCCTCCTCATTTGGATATTGCCAGATAAAAAGTGCGTAGTCACTGAAAGCAGTCTATTGGCAAAGGATGGGCGTAGCAGGTAGATCGCGGCTCATGGGTGATGCTCACTTCATTCATTAAGTACTTCTGCTGTGCACAAGTTGCTGCACACCCATCTCTAGAGACTGAACCACTAAACTGGATTTTTTACTGGCACAAATGATGCATTAGGCTCTGAGAGTGTGGTTCAAAATGGCAGATGGACCAGAGTGTGGTGCGGAGAAACAGCCAGGCCTTTGGAGGGAGACAGAGCTGGGTTCCTCTCCACTTTTGGGCTGTATTTTCCTGGGTGGGTGACTCAGAGATAGTTTCTCATCTGTGAAATGGGAGAATGCCATCTCCCTGCAGGGTGGTCACGGGAGTGACTGCTTAGGCATTGCCATCCTGGTCATCTCCAGGACCCAGCTGAACCGTCTGTCCCATCCTTACGGCTGCTGAAATGGGCCTATGGAATTTATTCTCTACACGTGTTTTCTCTCCACCTGTAGGCTTTCCAGATTCTAAAGTACTTCGCTTTCCCCACCTTCAGCATGTTTTGCATCTTAACGATTGAGCCTGAACCCTTCCTTCCATTTGATTTTATCCTTGACGTCTTCCAGGAACCCACAAGGAAGGAGTGGAGGTAACGGACCACCAGACCTGTCACTTAACGCTGATTTCAGAAATGTGACCCAAGAGAAATAAGTATCTACAAAAAATTCCAAAAGCAACTGGTTGGAAGTATTATTTATTCAAATAAAGAAAAATGTTTTATCTCCCTTTCAATGGTATGTATCTTAAATTGCTGGAACATACAAGTATAAAAATAAGATTATTTTTAGAAAATTCCAGTTCTGAAGGGCACAACAATGGTTCAGACATTAATCAGTAGCTATGAAGCGACTTTTAAGATGAAATGAATATCGCATTACTCCAACTCTTGGTCCTATTACAATTTTAAATCAATCAGCGTGCTGGAAATAGAGCAAAACTCCAAAAGGGAAATATAAAATAATTTTAAGCATTTTCAAAAGTACAAGTTACACTTAAGAAACATGTATTAAAGGATGTTAATCTGCGATAAACACAAAACAAACGTTTTGCAAAGCACGACTTTTTGCATCTGTGTGAGGACACATGGCTCGCAGCTCTTCTGCCAGAAGCAAAATACTGACTCTAGCACAGCAGGAAAGCCAGAAACTTCAGGAAGACATGAGTGGTCGCTTTCAATGACTAAACATAGCACGTTAAACTTCAAGACTTTTTAACAATGCAAATTAACAGCAATAGTAGAAAATACATCATTTGAGATTTTAAAAATTCGGCTTTTATTAGGACATGACAAACCTCATTCATTCTCTGCCCTATCACATGTGCTGAGTAATTGCTGCACAGAATTTCAAACCTCACTGATAAAAATGCGTGAAATTACATCTACAATTTTTAAAAATGAGGGGAAAAAATCTCATTTTATACCACTAGCAACAAAGAACACAAAATTGCATTACATTATTTAAGAAATGATATGTTGTGCAATTTTCATTATAATTAGCTTTGTTCACTTTTTCCCCTCCATCTTAAAAAGAGATAATCTTTTAATGTCTTTCTTAACATTCCATTCAGGAACACTAATCTCAGAAATGTGAGACTTGTGTGAAATTTTACTTCAATAGGTACAATGTAGCAAGCGAAACCATACTCCTATCAGGGAGCTTTCAGTGACCTCCATACATGGCACTCAACAGAAAGCAGTCAGTCTTGACCTTTGGAGATACTTCCTTCCTTACGGTATTCTGATCTGTCCATGCCTTGTGAATAAAAACACATTTTTATTCCAACCCAAAAGAAGAAAATCCTATGGAAAATCATGGACATCAAAGGCTAGGTTGCCAAAGATGCTCAAGGTTTCTAGCCTTTTATTGATATCACTAAAGTGACAGCTGTGCCTAACTTATTGAAATCTACATCATATAATGTAGATTTCATTCTATCATCTATAATTATATAATTACAAATCTATACTGGCAAAATATTTGACTCAGAAGGCTAAGTGTAGGCACATGTGTGTTCTGTACGTTTGGACTTTAACTGGTTGGCCTCATACAAATAATTATCCATCTGTAAAGAGAACTACCCACTTCTTAGAGCTCCCCTGATTCCCAGAGGAGAGACAGATATTTCACTATCACCTTCTTTCCCGAGATGCTGATGGAGATACCAGGATGGCTGCTCTCATCACAGTAGTGTCCCACAAGTATCCGAGGCTCAGCGGGGCACACAAGCATCAGGGACCAGGTACCTGCACGTCACTCTTGCCAGGGCTGGTTTCAAATTTATCAGGAAGCTTTGCGATGCCTCTTGGCCCAGTCGCTACCCACCATGTGGTTTTTAAGCAAGTGTGATGTAAAAGTTACACGATATAGTTTATAAGCACTGGATGTCTCTGTGTAATATCTGATAAGAAACCTAGAGGAAGCTCAGGGGCAGGGAAGAAAATACTGCATTTATTGGTGGAAGTTACGTATCCTCAACACCTATGAGATACCAGCCGCTGATGTGACTTGAGGTTTTGGTGGCATCACGAAGAAGCATGGCTTTGCTCTCATTTCCACATTCCACAGATGTGGCGAACAGCCTTCGCCCGCCCCTGGGGTGACACCAACAGCCCAGGGAGCCACCTACATCTGAAAACCCTGGTTCCTGCTCGGCAGCCTCCCTCGTCCCTCCCGCACTGACCCTGAATGGGGCTGGGTGTGCTCCCGGACAGCTTGGACCTTCCGGGGACGCGAATCCTGGGGAGCAGGGCTCCCACGCTGGCACCAGTGAGACAGGAGGGAGCTCCTTTTGTGGAAGTCAGTGACAGGAGATATTCTAGAGAAGAAAGCTGTCAGGCATTCCCAACGCATGGGCTGGGCTGGCTCAGCAGAGCTGGCGGAAGCAGTGAGGGCCGAGCTGCGGGGCCTCTCAATGACACTACCAGGGTAACTGCTGCCAGGAGCCTTCCAGATGATCAGACCCCACAGGTCACGATGCCAGCTCCCTTTGGCCTCAGTCGCTTGACCCTGCCCTACAAACTTCCTGGTGCATGACCTTGAATTTGCCTGTGTCCTGCTCGGTCCTTGAGGTCTCTCTAGTTTTATTAGGATAGGTGTGTTTTACATATGGCCATCAAGCAAGTTTCTCTTGGGCTAATTGTTCCTCTGACAAATAATCAGTCCTGAGAAGCTCCTTTAGAAAATTCCTAAAAAGTAGGCTGTGCCAAAAACGTGGGGTGAACTGAGGTACCCACGTCATCCTAGGGTCGTTCTTGGCTGGTGCGGACCTGTGTGGCCCACTGCCCCCTGAAGGGTGGGACCTCGCTTCTGGCTCCTTCTTGCCCCGCTCCCTTCCCAGATTCTGGAACTTGCCAGGCACCAGCCATCCTGTACTCTTCATCTGCTGGAAGAATCAATCCTTGCTCCATGTGGGCAACACCGGGCCACCCGGCCAGTCTCCCTCTGTCAAAGCTGTCATTGACACGTCTCCCACTTGAATATTCCTTAAGTTTGGAAATCGTGGCTCTGCAAAATGAATCACATCTCCAATGGATTCTTCAGCCATTTTAAAGGGAAAAGAAATCTGAGGATGGCTGGAATTAAACTGTAGTTTCTTTCTTTTTTTTGAGATGGAGTCTCGCTCTGTTGCCCAGGCTGGAGTACAGTGGCACGATCTCAGCTCACTACCACCTCTGCCTCCCTGGTTCAAGTGATTCTCCTGCCCCAGACTCCTGAGTAGCTGGGATTACAGGCACACAACACTACGCCTGGCTCTTTTTTTGTATTTTTAGTAGAGAGAGCGTTTCACCATGTTGTCCAGGTTGGTCTCAAACTCCTGACCTCAGGTGATCCACCTGTGTCAGCCTCCCGAAGTGCTGGGATTACAGGTATGAGCCACCGCACCTGGTCTAAACTGCATTTTCTAAAAGAATATCTTCTGCTTACTTTGTTAGCATACTTTTAATTATGTACTTATTCTCCCTATCCCTCTCAAAATGTATTTTTCCAGCCTACCATTTAAGAGGTAAACTGTTGTTAAGTTCAAATGTGAAATTCTTAAAACTCCCTAAATATGTACACAATAACTTCTGTGGCATGGCATGGAGTTTTCCTGGCATTAAAAAAATTTAGTACCTCTTTTGGCCCAAACCTCTAATTTTACACTTTATGGTGCTTAGTCAAAAAAAAAAAAAAAATCTTAGTGGCAAGTTTTTCCTCCAAACAGTTCTCTAATCAATTCTAATAAGTTTGTGCAAGAGGACAGGCATGGGAATTCCACCCAATTATTTGATTTCCACTAATCAGGATAAAGTCTGTGAAGCTCAATTACTGTTGTTTGTGGAACAGACAGCTGAACAGCGATTTATTCCCAATGATATCGAGTGGCATTAGGCCAGAACTTAGCACTGAGCTGCACAGGGCAGCTCCACCAAGCAGGGACAGGGAAGAGGAATTTAACAAGTTTGCACCTGGCGTGTTAAATAATCAAATCCCTCTTCACCTCTTAAATGAAATGATGGAATCCCCAATTCACAGTTGCTTTTCAAGATCTATTACCCAAAGCTCTGCAGAGTAATTAATGCTGTCTTCCTGGGAACGACTTCCACAAGTTTGAACTGTAAGTGACCCCAAATTTATCCCCAATCAAAACCTCTGTGTTTCACCACGAATCAGGTAATGTCCTTCGCAGTGTTCAGAAGTGGAACATTTTCTAGAAAAACATTCCCCGCGGTCGCACATGGGGCATCTTTTTCTTGAGTGCAAGGTACTTGTTTTTGGTTGAGGAGAAATACAAAATCTTGTACAGTACACGCTGGGAGAGCTGACATCAATCACTTGCGGCTCTTTTAAATTCCCAAGAATAAAAATAGAATGGGTCCCCATCTCGTTTCTTGCTATTTTTAATAAATGGTTTCAGTTACTGAAGGCAGGATTTCATTTCAGACTTTGAAAGAAGTTATCAAGAAAATGAAGCAGCGTCCTAAAATAATATTGTCTATATAGAAGCACCCATTTCCCATCAGACCTGACAACGTTTCTGATAACAACCTAATGCTAAGTTGCACCTTTCAGGCAAGGACCGCCTTCCAGTATTTTCCACAGCGTATTACAAGGTAAAAATGACACCCTCAAAGGGTTGCTAATTCATTTCCTGTTCCAAGCCAAACCTCCTTGAAGGCTTGCCAAGCCAAGCATTCATTTACATAACTGGAGGAGGTGGGTGTCACTAACAGGGGTTTGACTGGAAGTCCAATTCTGAGCTGGAAGGCATGCCAGAAAAATGTCCCACATTCAATTGTCTATTTCATTCTTGTTGCTAAGTTATGCTTCTGTAATTTCAGTATTTTCATCAAAATGTCACATCCAATGACATGCGATAGGAAAAGATAAAGAAATTTAATATGAAATACAAGAGAGCATGATGGCAAACTTCATTCACCTACTCTACCGGGAAACCTAGCTGTGACTTTTGTGTATTCCGAGAACCATGCCTGTTCATGTGCAGCAGGAGTAAGCTTCCCGCCTCTGAAACCTAATGTAATACAATGAAACAGAAACTGCCTGTATAAAGAAATAAGCAGGAAAATTAACCAGGTCATACCTGCAATTCCCGCCTTTTATTTCAGGGGTTTGCATTTTTCATAGCAAGGGGAAGGCACAATCTAGGGGTGCTGGCATCACTCTTACGCAAAGTGGCCCACAAAACAGGAACCACGGAAAAAGCCAATGGGTTGAGAAGAGAATCTGACTTTCAGACATCTCTCCCTCTGAAATGCACTCTGAGATTTTGAGTCCTCAACAAACTGAGAACAGGCGTGACAATGGGCCCTGATACAAGAGCCCCCTCCTCCCGTTCCATGCCGTCATGTTCCTTCCGAGCTGCAACTCAAATCTTCTCTAGTGAGAACAGCACAGAAGGTTCTTCTGGCTGCTGCAGAGTCTTCCAGGACACCATGACAAGCCGACGTGGCCTCCACGTCTCTTTGGCACAGCCACATACTTCTCAGTATGGACGTGACCCGGGGACCCAGGGAGCAGAGCAGATGGCTGAAACATCCACACACAGCCTACTGTGAATACCAACGACACTTCTGCAGGAGGGGACACTTAGCACTTTGGGTGGAATTCTGTAATATATCCAACCCACCCCAAAAGAAATGCAGAGTGAACACTGAGCTTGGCACAGAAGCAGGAGAGAAGGGATAGTCTTTCAACTCTTCTCTTAATGACATCAGATCACAGAAGGCTGGCTATGTCGAGGTAAGGGCTTCCACTTTTCTTTGGCAAAGGCCTCAATGGGTGACAGAAAGTAGGGATTGCCCCACATAAGGCTACCACTGTACACCTGTTACCAAAGATTAAACACCCCCGAGGGAAGAAGCACAGAGGTCAACTGCTAAACAATTTAAGCTGATTGATGGGTATCCTTGAGCCTAGCCGGTTCTGCAAAGGGAGACAGGCAGCTTCGAAGCATGGGGATTAGTAGATGCTCCCTCGTGTCTTCTGTACATCTTGCATCTTCCTTCCGCAACAGCTGGTCAGAAATAGGGGCATCAGGCCATTTCCCTGTTTCCCAACAGGGTAATAACCAACCTACTTCTAGAGAAGATTTGAAAAAAGAGACAACTAAGCTAGTGAGATAGAAGAGGTTTTTTTTTTTCATGAAAACACGATTTATTAATTTTAAGCAAGAGTAAGCATATGTGATAGTGGCCAGCTTGGTGACAGAACTCTCTTCCTGGTCGATGCACACACAGTTCAGCACCTGTTGGGTCTTGGCTGTTGGGATGATAATTCTTTTGGGTGAGGGGAACAGCTGCCGTCAAGGCTGCCTGCACCCCCACCCAGGCACAGGACCCTGGGCAAAGTCTCAAAAGAGGTAGTGTTTTTACTTTCGCACCAACAACACAACAGAAGTATTGGGTACAAAAGAGGAGGTTTCCTTCCCACTCTACCTCGATGGGCAAAAGGCCTTCCATCTTCACAAGAGGCTGGTAAGGACCATCAGTCGATGACCTCCTAGTGAATTCTGGCTCCCACTCAGAGCACAGAGAAACCCACAAAAGGGGCCTGTGGCTCTTTTTCCAGCTCCGAAGGGGACAGCACAGTGACATCCCCAGGCCCCAGGCTGCTTCTCCTGCCATCATACTGCAAGCCTTCTTATACCACTTTGACCCAGGTTGAGGTCTGGCACAAAATACCCTCAAAGGTGATTAATACAAAAAGCTTCCCGTGAGCTAAGAGGAGTTAACTATGTGCACGTATTTTTCCAGAGATCGGAGACAGAAGAGAACTAGCCAACACTTGGTTTTGTTTTGTGTTCCTGGCACACCTAGACAGTTTGGCATAACCAATCCCACTGAGCCTGCAGCCCAATCCACTCTGTTTTGGTTTAGATTTTTTTTTTTTTTTCATTATCATTTTTCTTGGAAGTAGGGAAGATCTGAAAGCTTGAAAATCAAGAATCAAAAGACAGTGAATCTGGAAGGCATCTGGGAGCAGAATGGAAATTGAAGACCAGTGGCCGCTGCCCTTGAAATCTGATTTTTTTTTTTTTTTTTAACAGCTGAGTCCACGGTTGCTTGAGGTCCGGCTTGGCTCTTCATTTCCAGCGATGTCTGACCAGAGAGGACTCATCATTCACGACCTCAGGGTCCCGGGGGCGACACTGACACCGGAACGGGAGCAGCAGCAGGACGATTAAGACAAGGAGGATGGCTCCACACACACTCATGAGCGCATACGACACAATCCACAAAACGGGCTCGCTCAAAGACTGGGCGGGGACACAGTTGCTGGCTACGTCCTCCGTTGAGAACGGCCCAGAAATCTCAGACACTGCGGCACCTGCAATTTCTGGGGAGACATAAAGGGAAAATCCAGAGCTGTGACATGAGCAGAGCACCTCCTACATCTGACACAGAGAGAACCCCTCGGCCTGATTAAACCACAAAGTGGCACTCAGGTCCCGGTGGCTTAGACAGCTCAGGAAGCACCGAGGGGGTCGCCGCTCAGTGTGCCTTCGGGGGTCCGGTCCCTGCACACTGGAATGATGGTGTGTTTCAAGGTCAGCGGGTACTGAGCCTAGGTGCGGAGGGGAGGTGCGGTGGGGCGCCTATGGGAGCACCCTGTGCTTCCCGAAGGCCGGTGAGGCTGCAGTGCTGGCAGGTGAGAGTGCAGGTCAGCGCCTGGTCGTGACAGCTGCGTGGGTCGTGCTTCCTCCGTGGAGATGAGAGAGGAGGAGAAAGGGGAGAAAGAGTAGGAGAGTCTGCCACAGAAAGCTCAGTTGGACCTGCCTGTGTGCATGGAGAATTTTCCCTGGTGGAGTCAACCTGAGTTCACTCTCTACCATGGATTCTGCTACAGACAGGGACCTCACATCAGCCTGACCCACAGGCTTAGTGGGTTGCGAGAACTCCCAGGGTCAGACTGGCTCGAAAGACCCTCCCTGCTCCACTCTGATCCTAGGTCTCATCTACAGCCAGGAGCAGTAAAGTGAACACAACACCTAATTCATGACATCCCTGGTGAAAAAGAGAAACACAGTTAAAATTCACCCGGTGACTTCTGCTAGAGACCCTTGAATAATTTCAAACCAAGAAGAAAGTTGAGACGATTTCTTAAAGCCAGCTTGTGGATTATCAGTAGACTTCCTTTCCCTACACTAAGCTTCTCTGATCCTTTCAGGAATATGGGATCTTAAGCTTTACTTGCAATACAAAAAAGAAATAGGCCTCATTATCCATTTTTCCTATATGTAATCGCAGAAATCAGTATTTTGGCACCAGAAAATAACACGGCAAAGCATTTAATTTTTCTATAACTAAAGCTTCAAGATCTTCAGACCTGCCAAACAATACCCTTTTTGACTGAGGAGAGAAAAAGTCAAAATAACAGTGGGATAGTGACCTGAAAAGAATGGTTTTTAAAATCAGAGGAAAACGGTCTCGATTACTTGCAAAGTGACTGAATTTTCTTGCTAATGTGGATTCTGTCTTAATATGGCTTTTTTTGTGTGTGTGTGCAGTAAAAAAGAAAGGCGAGGAACGTGAGCCTGCCAACACCTGAGAACAGAGGGATGCAGCCTGTGGTCAATCTACACTCTCATTTCCTGTTTGTAGATAATGATTTTGCTTAACACAGAGAGAGACAAGGTGCAAGAGACAAGGGAGCTCTCCTGGACTGTCTTTAATAAGGGCGCTAATTCCATTTACAAAGCAAAGTTCTGCCCTCATGACCTAATCACCTTCCAAAGGCCTCAACTCCAAATATCATCACCTTGGAGATTAGGTTTCAACATAAGACTTTTGGCAGGACACAAACATTTATTCTATAGCACTAATTATGCAAGAGGGCAGGAAAACACAGTTCCTAGCAGGGAGTAAAAATCAATCAATTGGAACTTAGAAATGGCACAAACAATAGAATTAGCAGGCAGGATATCAAGATATTTATTATGACTGTGTTCTACTCAGATGCTAGATAAAATGTTAAACAAGTTCAATAGAGACACAGAAAACATTAAAGATCTAAATCAAATTTCTAGAGGTAAAAATTGCAATATGTGAGATAAAAAATATACTGGATGGTTGTAATAGCAGATTATATGCTGCAGAAAAACTAATGAATTAAAAAGCATAACAACAGAAACCATCCAAAATGAAGCCAAGAGAAAAAAAAACTGAAAAATAAAAAGAGAAAACATCAAAGTGTGGATAACATCAAGCTGCTAAATCATGTAATCAGAGTACTCAAAAGAAAGAAGGGATTGTGAGGCAAAAAATATTTGAAACATCAATGACCAAAATTTTTCCAAATTTGATGAAACTGTAAATCCAACAGATCCAAGAAGCCCAAATGACCCCAAACACACAAAAAAATGACACAGATTATAAGGGTGAACTGCTGAAAACCAGTGATAAAAATTTCTTAAAAGCAAAGAGAGGAAAAAAATGAAGCATTATGTACAAATGAATACAAATAAGGATTACAGATGATTTCATGTTGGAAGCATGCAAACTAGAAGACAATAGAGCAACATCTTTAAAGTACTGGGAGTAGAAAAAGCCCTGTCAACCTAGAACTCTATACCCAGCAAAAAATATCTTTTACAAATTAAGATGAAATAAAAATGTTTTCAGTCATACACAAATTGAGTAAGTCATCACAGATTTTCACTAGAGAAAGTTCTTCAAGCAGAAGGAAAAGGACATCAGAAGGAAACTTGAATCTACACAAAAGAATGATGAACACCAGAAATGGAAACTATACAGTAGTTATAAAATCTTTCCTTTTAATTTTAAATATTAAAAAAATTAACCAATTAAGGAAAAAATTATAACAATGTGCCAGGTGGCTTATAATATAGGCATAGATAAAATACATACCAATAATAGCATAAAGGACTGAAGAAGAGAAATAGAAGTGTATTGTTGTAAGGCTCTTAGACTATATGAAGTGGTAGACTCTGACCAGTTAAAAAAAACTTACACTATACATCCTAAAGCAAACACTAAACAAAGAGTGATAGTTAATAAACTAGCAAAGAAGATATATAGAAATAGAAAATACTCAATCCAAATGAAAGAAACACAGGAGGAAATCTTTGTGTCTTTGGGTTAGGTGAAAAAATTTCTTAGCATACCCAAAAGCACAATTTGTAAAATAACAAAACAAAAATGATCTTATCAAAATTAAATAACTTCTCCTCTTTAAAAGAAAATATTAACAGACTAAAAAGCCTTGGCAAAAATATTTACAAGCCAAATTTCTGGTAAAGGACTTGTATTCTTAATATATAACTCTGAAGTCTCAATAATGAGAAAACAAACAACCCTATACAAAAATGGGCAAGAACATTTGAAAAGACACTTCATTTAAAAAGATACATGAATGGCAAAAAAAGCACCTAAAAAGATATTCAGGATCATTAGTCATTAGTGAAATACAAATTAAAACCACAATGAGACCACTAAATATTAATACCTATTAAATAAAAATACTGACCATATCAAATGTTGGTGAGGATGTTTGACAACTGGAACTTTCATAAACTGATGGCAGAAATGTGACATTATACAGCCAACTTTGAAAATGAGTTTGGCAGCAAGTGAAACATACTTGTTATGTAACTCACCCATTCCACACCTATTTGTTTATCCAGGAGAAATAAAAATATGTGTCCAAGGACTTGCATGCTATTGTTCATAGCAGCTTTGTTTATAATTGCCAAAAACCCCCAAAACTTGGCAACGACCCAAAATTTCACTAACAAGTGTATGAGGATAAAGAAATTGTAATGTCTAAACACAATAGAGCATTGATCTGCAATAAAATAATGAACTATCGAACGTAAAACATTATAGATGAACCTCAAAATAATTACACTGTGTGAAAGCGGTCAAACAAAATGGAATATGTACTGTATGATTTCATTTATATAAAATTCAAACAAATGCAAACTAGTCTACAGTGATAGAAGGCAGGTCAGGGGTTTCCTGGGAATGGCATGGGGTCCATAGGACCTGAGGGGCAGGGAAAACAGCTCAATGCATAGGACCACTACCTCCTGGTGATGGCTTCAAAGATGTGCACAGATGTAACACTTATCAAACTGTATCCTTTCAACATGAACTGTTTATTTTACACCAATTATACCCCAACAAAGCTGTTTTAAAAAGTCAAAAGAATAAGGGAGTCAAAGTATGTCAAACCATAACACATGTGACATAATCACATTGAGATTAGAAAAGAAAAACCAAACCAATCTCAGTCACACCGGCTCCATGGACATTGATTTACTACTGTTCTTCCAGCTGAATGCTTGAGTTCATACCCATTTTTTTGTATGTGCTGTGTGTGATGTGTATAATTTAAAAAAAAAAATTAAAATCAATTTTCTTCAATGTACCATGTATTCCTTTTTATTTTTTGGGGATGGGGCCTGGCTATGTTGCCCAGGCTGGAGTGCAGTGGTATTTACAGGCATGATAGTAGCACATTGCACTCACACTCCTGCACTCACGCCATCCTCCCACCACCTCAGCCTCCCAAGTAGACATGTACCACTTTTATAATTAGAAGACTCATGGATTTTGTTTTCAAGTTTTTGAAAAACAGCACCAATTTAAGATTGTCAGACATCAAGCATTATCCAGAAACAACTACCTTCTCATACTTGCTAACCGGCTGCTTAGCATTAAAGAAAAGCTGATTTAAAATTCCTTCTGGAATCAGGAATGCCATTCACCGCATGGTCTCTGCATTTATTGCTTACAGGACTAATTCTATGGTTATAAAGCAGATTCCAACTTGTATGCCGGATTGATTTATGAGTGGCCATTGCATGCAGTGGGTGAGAGCATGACCCTGGGGCCAGACTTCCGGGGTTTCAATCCCAGCTCCCACATACAAACTGTGTGATCTGGGCCAAGTTACTTAACTTCTTTGCCCCCAGTTTTGTCATCTATAAAATGAATAACAACAGCCCCTATAAGTCAGTCTTGTAAGAACAATCGACTTAATAGATGTTAAGCACTTAGAATAGTCTTGGGCTAAGATCAGTGCTACCTAAGTGTCCTCTGTTAGTTACTACATCGTTATTTTTAATTCTTTTATCAATGTCACAGTCTTAATTGTGTATTTTCTCTGAAAGGTCAGGATCTGGTTGATAATGAGTGCTTGTGGAAATCTATAATTTTAACAAGGATAAAAATTATCATGGTCAGGTCTTTTTCCCTATAGCACAGAAAATAATGAGAACTGTCCCACCACGCTGATCATCTGGTACTGAGATGCTTTCTGAGTATGCATGGTTTGCTTAGAAGAACATTCTGGAGTTTCAGGACAGGGGTTCT